GCTCATCAGATTCATCTTCCCGAATCAGTCATGCATCTGGATGTGTGCTTTGAATGAAAGACCAGAGAAGGGTCTTTATCTGGGCTGAAATGAGCCAAGTCATTTTACCCCTATGCCTTACTCAGTTTTTGGGTAGGCTGGTATGTTTGAGAGGGGAGGATTTTTTGCTGTAATTTTTATTGGACCAGCTGTATAGATAGGAGAGTTGTTGGACAAGCTTTCAGGCATCAAGTGCCCTTCCGTAGGTCTAAACATATGGTTGAAACTGAGAAAAGAGTTAAAGGGGTAATTCACTTACGGTAATTCAAACTGTTTAGTATCTACAGATTTAAAGATCACCTGAGCTTAGACCTGAGGAAGGACACTTGAAGCCCGAAAGCTTGTTCAACTGTTCTTCTAACTATACAGTGGGTCCAGTAAAACATAACATGCAAAATCTTTGCCTCTTGTACCTATCCTGGGCCATCATGGCTACGACACACTAACCCTACTGCAGCTATGCTGGTATGGATGTTCTTCAGTTAGCACTGGTGACTAGTAGTCTCAGTAAATAAATAATTGAAGATATTAATTATTGTTCCAAGCATGGAATAACTTTTGTTAATTGTTGCACATCCTCAGAGGTTTCTCAGTGATTGCCTAATTTCAGATGTAAAACACAAATCTTTACAAATCTCCACACATTAAGGGCTGTATTGAGCTTTTAGGTGGCTCCAGAGATGCTAGTCTAAGGAGGAAAAAAGAAACTTGATTGACTGATGGATAGATTTGATTGACAGATTGATAGATTTCCTTAAATTCCAACTTGTGGTCCAGTTGTGTGCTGTTCCTTACAAAAAGATCTTGCAATGCTGTGTTTAATTTAACATAGTGGCACAAAATTTTTAATGCTGTTTGGAGAGGTTTCTAATGATATTCCTTGAGTACAAAACCATATTCTTTTCCTATGCATACCTCCATGTAAAGAGAACATCAAAGTGAATTCTCATAGCAGGAAAGGTGCATACCCAGGAGAATAGTTATATGAGTCATCACAGGCTTGCTTGAAAATAAGTCTGGCAGCAATTTTCTTTCTTCTAAAAACAGGAATTGAACAATACTTCATTAAAAAAAAAAAAAAAAAAAAAA